AAATTATGTAGACAAATTATACACAGAAAGCTCTGCCACTCATAACTGAGGCCTCCAAAAATGTTTTGTGTATTTGTATAATAGGCAATACATCAAAATAAGCCTATTTTAAATATTGTACATGGTTAACAGTTTGTTGATAGCTAAAATCACTGCAACATCTGGTATGTCCCTATATAGCTTGTTGTAAAGATTTTTTTGTTTTGTTTTAAAATCAGAGTTGTGAATGAGACTGTGAATGTTACAAGGGCAAACAAGTTGTGCATGCACTTAGGTACTTGTTACCCTGGAAACAATGGTTTTTGCATGATAAGAAGTTTTTCTGCCTTACACAGTAGACAATATTTGAAGATTTAGTACAAAAACAGTGACAGTACAAGATGCTCCCCCAAACAGAATTAGCATCAAAATATAATATACCTTAAGAATATACCTCTTAATTTCTCCTAAAGCAAATCACATAGGTTGATTCCTATATCAATCCTAGCCATGGAATGAATTAGATTAAAATAAGTGTATGGCTGCGTCAAACACAGGATAAGTTCTTGCTTCCTACTTATCACACTTTAATTTAAGGATTACAAACGTAGTTCATTCTACATTTCTAACAGATAAGAATGCTACTTTAAAAGGGTCGTGCACAAAGAGGCACTGTTTTTGCTGTCATTCTTCTATACACTTGGCACTAATGTAAAAAATACATAACTCCTCCAAGTAGAACTGAATAAAAAGGGGGTTCAGATGAGAGCCTGTATGGTTGTTACCTTTTTCTCCAGGTTAATGAATGACATAATTAAGGCCACATCAATACACCTTTAGGGCTCCCATTGTGCCCCATCTGCAGTTGTTGTACTGATCGGCTTACTGCTTTGGAAGAGGATTTTTAACCTTCGATGAGCTACCTTTGAACTCTTCTAGAGCTCTATGTGCTGTAGTGGAGATGATTTAGCTAATAGCATTTTCCATTTAGATAATTAATTAAAAGTAAAATTATCAAGGTTAGCTTTATACATTGCTGAATAACAAAAGCAAAACCTACTCAAATGAGTTACATCTGGGAACAAATATTAAGTCGCCCTGGATGTTTTAATAACAAAAGTATAAAATATTCTCTGTTGGCAAACAATGTGCGTCAGAATAACATTAAAGCAACCTGCCTTTTCTAACTGAAAAGACCTCTGGCACTATACATAGCTCCTGTATACAATACTTTTTTTTTTCTTTAACTAAAGCTTTATTAAATGAATTGCAATAGCAATGGCTGCCTTTATATATATATACACATCATATAGGTGCATATATATGTATATATATGAGATACTAAGTTATTTAACACAATAGAGGCTTCTGCCATATGATAAAGTTTACTGTACATAAGAAAAAACTTTTAATACTGTACAATCACATAAAGGTCATATGCACTGTTGCAGTGCGAGAGTAGTTTTAACTGTAGTCTTGACTGGCATATTAATGGCTTTTTTGTAATCCTAGAAAATTGCATTCCCATATTATGTGGCCTGAATGGTCTTTGAATTGTCTTACGAACACTGCAGGGTCACCTTTGGTCCACAGTTAAAGGACACTCAACAGCAGTGGAGCATTTTATGGATGCAGCAGAAGAATGTAAAAAGACTGAAGTTATTGCAATTATATTTTTAAAAATAGAGAAACATTATGTAAGAGGCCTTTATGTAAAATCAATCCTGCACATACTCTTGGTATACTCAGTGCACATTTCCTATACTTGAAGTACAGTATATGAAAAGCAGACTAATAGGATCCTAGTATACTATATTCTGGGGGAACAGGTTGAGTAATGAAACAAATGGAGGGAAATTTATGAGAAGGAAGAGAAAAAAGAGAAAAAAATAGAGGAGAGGGAGGAGGGAGAAAGTGGGAAGAAAGAACTAGAATTGTTACTATAATCTTAATTTTTAAAAAGTTACATCCATGTTAGTCCCACAAGATTATAGCGCTCCTGGCCGAGGGAGTCCTAAGAAGAAACAGTGAGGAGACTTTGCTGCTCATATGGAGGTGCCTCGGTCTGGGTCGTTCCCCAGATTAAGCCCCAGGGTGGGAGTCGGTTGATAAGGAATAGATGACATTGTTTTTATAGGACTCCTGAAAAAGCCCCCGTTCGGAGCCCTGTGCCTAAAGGGGCCAGTCCGGTGCTCAGGCACGTTGCCAAAAGCGAAGCCAGAGGCAGCCTTAGCGGACAGTGTGCGGCTGAGAGTCTGGATCTGCTCTGGGATAAAGGTGGTGGTGGTGATGTGAGTGTTCCTGAAATCACTGATCTGCTCCAGGGCTTGGCGTGTAGGCAAAGTGTCAATGTCCAGAGGGGTCAAGTCAATTGACGAGGTGGAAAACTGTTTATGGGGGCTGTCGTCATCTGTGCACAAGCTATTTACACGTCTATGGAGGTGCTCCAGGTCAATTTCCTTGTCATCCTGGAGATGAAAAAAAGAAAATAAGGTTCTCATCAGTACTAGCTTCCATGGAAGAAAAAAAAAAGTAGTTCAGCAAACATGTAATTAACTGAACTTTGGGGTTTGTTCACTTAACAAATATTTAACTGAGCACCTAATATGAGCCAGGCACTGTACTAGCTCCTGGGAGTACCAGTGTGATTTGCAGGTAAAGCTATTTTCTTGCAGTGAAAGGTCGACAGTGAGCAAACATCTCATGCAACTAGAATGGCAGGACAGCAGTAGTTGAGTGACCACCATTCTACAGAAGATTGGCCCAAGAAGAATTGTACACATAAAACCTTTGGTTTTAGCAACCCCACCCAAGCCCTCCACCACTCTTTTCTCAACATTTCCTCTTTTTCCAGAGTCTCATTCCAAATTGTATTTTTGTTCCTGTCTACCACTTACTCCTAACCTTCACTTTCCATTCTTAGAGGAAAGGGATATGATACACTATTTCACACTAACATTCGAAAGCCTATTAAGTGTTGTTTCTTGTGGGCTAGAGAGATATGTGAGCTTTTTATTTTGTAGAAATGGCAAGAGTCGACATAGGAGAATTAATTTCTAATTGGGAAATTTCATAAACATCAGGTATCTCGAATCTGAGTCAGGCAACATTGTGAGGTCAACAGGATACTCAGCCCTTCAAGTCAGGACATATGAGTGGTAGCTTTAATTTAGGACCAGGTTTGTGTTAAATGGCTCTAAACCTAGGATGCTTTAAGCTATGCCACTGATGGTTTTTGTAATAGTGCTTCATAAACAAAAGGGAGCTAAAACTTCAGAGTTTTAGAGATGAAACCTATTCAAAAATCTCTTAAGATTTTCTGTAAAAGTGGTATTAAAACCTAATACCTGAAAAATTAAAACTGGCAAGAAGCAAAGTTGTCCTTGTTATCTATCTTATTTATAACCAAACTCAATGAATTAAATGATTAAAAAATACCTATTAATCATAAGAGGAGAGGATGTGGATTGGCTGTCTTGAGTTAGACTGGGGTATGCACAGTTTTCATTGTGCTATTAGAGGGTTCCTAAGCAAAAAATATTTTGATGTGCATCACTGTTTTCCCTTCTCCTTTCTCATTTTAAAATCCAATAAAAATATCCATTAATGCAGTATTATCACTAAGACCTTAGGGGTTTGAGACATATAATTTTATGGTTCCCAAGGCAACTGTAACACAGTCATCCATCAACAGATGTAATAACACAAAAATTTAACATCATATGTAGTAATTCAAAATATAAGGAGCTCGGGGAGTCTTTAATTTCCAGATTTTTGAGAGTATGAAGTCTCAGCCATAATGTTGCATTAATGGGGTCTTTTGCATTGAATCAACATCAACAGAGATACCAGAAGCTTATTCGACAAAGAAAATGCTACAATAAAACCGGTTAATTTTTAATTCACCTTCCACTTATTTAGAATGTATGATCATTCACACAAGGTAGCAAGCTACATTTATCTTTGCTAAATCATGTTTTTCTTAGAAATGGTGCTGATCAATTTTGCATATAAGGTGTCAAGAAAGAATCCTTACGCTGCTTTAGAAAACAATCTGTTTGAAAGAGTACATTAACATGTAAAAATACATATGCAAATAAGAAGTCATTTTTATTTGTGCATTAAAGCAGAACCTCTCAGGATTTGCCCTAGGCAGCAGTGAGTCAAGTTCTACTTATAGAAAGTTCAATACTTGCTTTGAAACTATCCATCAAATCAAATCATTTTATAAATTCAGGTTGTTTTTTATTTCAAATTTTGAAGCTGTAGTGAATCCAACTTCATGATTTAGAAATTTTCGCAATTTTCACCCAGTGGAAATAAGATAAATGAATCAAGTAGTTTATTTTAGCTTAATATTTTCTCAGATAATTTATCAACCACATAATTTGTGATGAAAGTAAGACACATGACACTTTAAAGGAGACAGCATGTGTAATTCTCCAATTATTCTTTCAGATACCTACAAAAAATTTAATATGGTTCAGGAGTTAAACTGATTCAAAGTAAAAGAAGAAAAATGGAATTCTGAATGATTCCCTAATGTAAATTTGGTAAGTTTGGGGTAACTCTATAGATCTACACTTAGAGAGAGGGAAGCAGTTTCTAGTGTTGAAAATAAAATTCTGTTTATTTTTATTATAGTTTTGCAGTTTTAAGGCCTAGTATTAGAGACACAAGTATTAAATGACTAATTGTGGTGGTAAGCACCTTTGTGAATTGGTCAAGGAAACTGTGGCCCTTAAAATTCATTGAATTAAAGTTTATCCTGAGATTTGGGAGAATTTCAAAGCCACTTATGGCACATGAAATTAGCAGTCTTTCTATTACTATAGCCTACCCTTCCCTTATCTGATATGAGCTACAATGGACACTGGCATTGGTCTTACCAATCTTTGCTTGCATAAATGTACTTTTGATCCTCAAGGAAAGAAGAAATAATGGCCTTTCATGACTCACTGTCCTCTCCCCTGTGACCACCCTGTCTGCACATATAGCCTGCTTGTTGTTTCATCAAGTACCTCTTTGGATGGGACGCGGGAGCCCTTCCTCTTGTTCCACCATGTCTCCAGCATGGCTATGAGGCAGGAGAGGACGATGCCTGCGGCCAGGATACAGAAAACTCCTGCGAAGCTCTTTATGTCCAGGGCACCTCCTTTCTGCTTTGTGTCCACAGAGGAGTACAGGTCACACTGGCCATTCTTGGGCCACCATTTGTGCTTCAGGATGTCCATGTCACCACTCTGTTGAAGCTCCAGGATCCTTGGGGATAAGAACACAACCGCATGTTACTGTGGATATGGCCACTGCCTTGGTCCACGACACCTGTGGTTATAACCCTACCTCCACAGGACAATGCTGCAGGGTGGAAACAAGTCTATAGATCAGGTTTTAGGGGGACTGCTCAGAAACTAAGCACACGAGTGCTTTGATTCTACAGACAGAGTTGTGGCACAATGCCGCCTCCCCTTACTCCCTCCCTCCCATTTCCCTCTTCCCTCTTTCACTTTCTTCTCTTCTTCTTTTGGTTTCTTTCTGTACCTCAGCTATTTCCCCTGGTTCTTGGCAGTGTGTCTTCACAATTACATTTCGAGGCCCTGTTTTGATGTGGTTTCAAGCTGCTGCAGCTCTGTGTTCCTTCTCTAGAAACAGAATGATCCCCTGGATTGTAATGCTTTTATGAAGAATGTTTTGCTGCTTAGAGCAAGATGCTGGCGTAATGTCGCCTGGCATATGCTACACACACAGAAATTCAATTAAAAAGACTTCTATTATTTAACACAGTGTGGGAGAAAGCCTTGAGACAAGTTTGAAGTTGATAAAAATACATCATTTTTGGTTTTTCACACAACTGATCTAGTTTTATTTTTAATGCCAAAGAGGAAATCATCTAACCTTGGAGAACAAGGGGGAAAGCTGACCAGAAGGCATTCAAAAGTCATTAAATTCAAGTAAGAAAGCCCCTCCCCTCCCAACCCCTTGAGTCCTGGAAGAGCTGCAGAGTCCACAGCTGTTTAAAGCATGACTTTTAGAGAACTTATTCTCACTCCCACTATACTTAAGTCTGGCCTGTCTCTGGCCCTCTTATAGCCATGCCTCTTGTCACTGGCCAAGAGTGTGTTCTGTTCCCAGAGTGCCTCACTTTCCCTGGGACTTCCTGGCCTAGCAATGACTTTTGCCTAGGGATGTCCTCCCCATGGTACTGGGGACTGAACTCCGAGTCTTAGCCTGGAGCTCCATCCCTAGCCCTTGTTTATATACATGCTTCTTGAGACTAGGTCTTGCTAAGCTGTTAAGTAACCTGGGCTGGGGTTTCATGTTGCAGCTAGGCATCATGGCCACCTTTTCTGTCACGTGAGACCCAGGATGTAATGCAGCCTACAAGCCCAGTGAATGAAAGGTGTTCTACAAGCCACTCTTGGTAACCACAGGCTCCTGCCTACCATATTTCCTGATGACTGGACCTTCTAGCTATGAGTGCACCAGAGGTCCATAGGCTGGTGTTTGGAGAGAGTGTGGATGGGGTGTGGATGTGGAACACAGGTGCACACAATTTTGTGTGGAAGACCCTTTCCTGTGCAGGACTGGGGGGTGGGGGTATGGACCCAGAGGCCCAGTCCCTGTGCCCCCAGGTCAGAGCAGGGTCTTGGCTGCTCCCTGACTTCCTAGGTCATGAAAGTATATTTGTCAAGATGAGCACAGAAGAGTTTTTAGCTTGACTTGTAATTTTCACATAATTAGACTTAGGATACATAGTTCTACATTTGTACTCTTGCCTTGGATCTTAGATTCTTTGGGGATAAGACTTCAAAAGTTTAGACAGAAGAATGAAGCCAATCTGGGAGGAGTACATTACTCATTTCTGGTGGTAGAGCACCTTTTTATTTGTTTCATGTCATGCACATGGCTAGAAGAATGAGCAAAATGAGAAAGAGAAGGAGATTTTATACACTGGGACTAACATTTAGTTAAGCAACAGTGAGAGCAGCCTTGGGGGCTAGGACGGAGTTCACCTCATCTTTAGGACTCAGGCTGCTCTGGAGCTGCTCTCACAGCCTGGACTTTTCTTTCTTGATTCTTCTTCTTCCTCTTTGTGTGCGTGCATGTGTGTGTGTGTGTGTGTGTGTGTGTGTATGTGTGGTACTGGAGACTGAATCCAGGACTTTTGCACTAAGCTACATTCCCAGTCCTATTTAAAACTTGTTTTTAAAATTTTTAAATACACATACACAAGGCAACCATTCTGTTACTGAGCCACATCCCCAGGCCTTTTAAAAAAATTTTTGAGACAGGGTCTGGCTATGTTGTTAAATAGCCCAGGCTGGGCTTGAACTTGAGATCCTCCTCCTTCAGCTTCCCAGAGTGCTGGAATGACACCACTGGCCAGCTTTCCTTATTTCTTAGGAAACTGAACTTTTAATGTTGTTGCCTCAGAGTGCTGCTGTAATACAGCAGTTAATTAAAGTTTCTAAACTGAATATGAGTAATGAGGGATTATGTGCCACCCATACTCCAGGCTCTATCCTAGACAAATTCATTTTCATCTTAAGACTTTCCAAAAGTGTATTCCAGGACACTAGTAGCCAGAGAGTCTAGACAGCTGCCTATAGCTAAAAATCCTCTACTGTACTCTTAAAATTTTGTAAATGGGTTAGATAAGACCTATCTCATATTAGGGGTCCATAGGATTATAACAAAAATAGTGTCAAATTATGTCAGTATTTTCCTATCTAAAAGCAGAAGGTAGTCACTGAATATCTTGAAGAAAAAATTTAGTCATCAAATAATTCTTTAGTCAACAAATAATTCTTAAATTGGAGTTTATTAGTACAGGGCGATATGAAAGGAGATTGCAGCAAGACTCGTTTAATGAGAGTACAGTTGTTCCTCAATATCCACACGGAACTTGTTCCACGATCCTCTAGATACCAAAATCTGAGGATGCTCAGGTTCTTTCTATAAATAGTATAGTACTTGCATATAAGCTCTGCATTCTCTCCCTTATACTTTTAATTATATCTAGATTATTTATAATACCTAATACAATCTAAATGCTATATATGAAGGGTAGTCAAAATATATAGTGAATGTTTAAATTTTTAAAAATTTATTACAAAAAACATTTATTACAGTGAAAGACACATTGCTGTCAATTCTTCTTAACCCTCTTAATTACCCTCCTGCCCCCACTGCCGCCTTGAATACACTTTCCCATGGTTCTTGCCACTTTCTGAAGCAGTTCTGGAAGTCCTCTTCTGAGAGTGTCTTTACAAAGCGTGAAAAAATTTACAGTAAATGGTGCTGCCAAGTGCCACTCAATAGAAAGAAAGCTCATGAAAACATGATGTGTCCTTATCTACCTCATTCACCAAATCTGGCATCGTGAGACTTCTGAGGCTTCCCCCAAAGTCGAAATGACTGAAAGCTAAACATTTGGAATCAGCTCAGGACATTGAGGGAGCCATAACAGCTCAACTCAAAATGTTCATGAAAGAGGACAAAGAAAATGTCTGTATGTGTTCAGTACAGACACAGTTTTTTTGTGTGAATTGTTCTCATCTATAATTTGTTGGGTCTATGGGTGCGGAACCCATGGATACAGAGGGCTGATTGCATCTGGACACTAAACGAGGTCCCAAGTTACTCACGCTGCTCTTCTTTGCCCATGGCAGTGTGTTGGCCAGTGTCTGTGAGAGGGCCAGCATTTTCCTCATAGCACTTACCATTTCTAATGCTTGAAGGTACTTCGTCAGTATCTGATCCCCTTCATACTGCATCCTCACCGTCCTCCACACTGGCCATCATGGAGCAGGTGTATATTTATTGATAGACTCTGCCTGGCACAGCTTTTGGTAAATGAACCTTTCCTAAGATCCTACTCTTTCTTCTTATCATGGAGGTCATTTTAAAATTTATTTTATTTCTTCCTTAGTCACCTATTCATTCAATAAATACCTAAAGAGAGACCACATGTGCCAGGCATTTCTTTGGGTACAACATTTATTCTAAACCATGACTGCACATTGATCCAGAATGGTCTGGGCCACACTGTGGAGCTGTGTTTTCAATGCCCTCCCTTTATCTTCATTCATTCTTTCACCAGTTCAGAGACTGATTACTGCTTACTCCTTTTCCAAGACCTCTGTGTTTCATTCTCCTACTCTGTCTCCTTATATTTTCAAACTTGGACAATAGTTTAGCTTTTAAAATAATTATTGAAGTAGACACATTATACTCCTCCCATTTCAATTCTAATAGGAGTGAAAGGCAGTAAATAAAAAGAATTGGTTTAACTGTAGAATTTTTTTGTGTTCACCCAGGTGAGTGGTAGGAGTTCCTGGGGGGAGGGGGAAGAGTCTTCTCCAGGTGCCTTCGAGATGGACCAAGGCACAAAGGTCTCTTTGTACAGTCATCTCTAGCTCATCACAACTGCAGGCAGCCAAAGCACTGCAGGCGGGCCCCATTTCTGTGGATATACAAAGTGTGTGGACCACCAGATCCCTCGGTCTCGCTCCAAGTGCCCAGAACTGATCCTAGGAAAACAGCCTGGCATTAGATAGCATGTTGGAAGGGAATGAAAATGCTTCTGAAGCCAAAGGATCTGTCATAAAATCTTGCTACAAAATCTAAAGTAAAGTACTCCTGGAAATTCTATTAGAAAACTCTAACTATACCCTCTCCTTTTTATTATTTGTTATTTTAATGAAAATTTGTTAATTTTGTTAAATAATTTTGTTAACATAATAAGGATCAGCCAAATTTAAGGATTAGGTAAAGAAAGTTTGGTAAAATATGATGCACTGCTGTGAAGACTGACAAGATGAATTCTTGTAATAAGTAATGAGATGTGTTTTCTTTTCCGATCTTAACGTGGTGTGGCCCCATTAAGTGCAGCTTAAAAACACATAAAACACATAAAGAAGAATTTTACCCTTTAATCGTAAAGCACAATGATGTGCACATATAACAATGCAAAGATCCAGTTCTTACTGAAGGCAAAGAATGTTTTTGGCATCATGGGACCATAACCTATTTTGTTATGTGTGCAGTGTCCACAAGATGACAGTGTTTGCTAATAGAAAGCAAAGAGAAACTGCAGTTCATTTACCTATGAGCTTGAAATGTGTATAGACTTTGTGGTGCTGTAAACACTTAAACCATTAACAACAGAATTAGCTATTAGACTGTTGGATCCCTAAAACCTTTCCTTGAAGTGTAGTCAGAAAAATTCCTGCCATTTTTACCCCACTTGCTTTTGAGGC